TTTTTTTTAAGGCAGATTCTCGCTCTGTCGCCCAGGCTGAAGTGCGGTGGTGAGATCTCAGCTCACTGCAACCTTCACCTCCTGGTCTCAAGGTGATCCTCCCACTTCAGCTTCCTGAGTAGCTGGGACTACAGGCATGCACCATCATGTCCGGCTAATTTTTGCATTTTTTGTAGCGACAGTTTTGCCATGTTGCCCAGGCTGGTCTCAAACTCCTGACCTCAAGCGATCCACCTGCCTCAGCCTCCCAAAGTGTTGGGATTACAGGTGTAAGCCACTGCATGTGGCCATTCATTCCTTTACTCAGGCACGCACAAATCTTTCCAGAGAGCTTCCAGGGGAAGGCTTGAAAGCGCTGTCGGGTGTAAAGAAATGAACAGGACTCATGTGCACCTGGGAGCTGTACAGTACAAAAACGCTCCAGTGTCACAGCCCTAATGAATCCATGCCCCATGAGTCTAGGCTCAGACACATGACATGTGCATGAAATTTCAGGATCAAGGTCTTAAAGCCCATGGACCCCATGGTAAAGAAGCTCTCCATCAGTGAGTACCATGGTCTACCGTCTCCCTAACGGAGGCAAAACTGTAAGAAATCTCAACATCCTGGGAGTCATACACATGTGAGTGCTAGTCTGGATTTGGTAATAGCACAGAATTTTAGAGTCAAGTCCCTTAAGCAGGATGTTCCAGCCAGTGATAAAAGCTGTACAGAGACGTCTCTTCCACATGGTAAATGCTTTCGAGTCAGCTAGCGGGCTTTAAGATGACTTTTTATCCCCATCTGGAAGAGGAAAATTGGAGATGGGGATTCATTTTGCAGAGACCAGACTGCTGCCACTTACTAGAAGCATAAGCTTGATGAGTTGCTTAACCTCTCTGCCTCAGTGTTTTCATCTATAAATAGGAACATTGATATTCTTACCTTGTAGGGTTTCTGAGGATTAAGTTAAGACATGTAAAGCACTTAAAACCTTGCCTAGTAGAAGAGAAGTACTATTTAAGTGTCAGCTGTTACTATTATTATCTCCCTGAGATCCATGAGTGGCAGGATGAGTGAGCTCAACTGGACCCTCTTGCAGCAACCGGAAAACAATAGAGATGACTGGCGTGAGGGAAAGAGCCCAGGATGGGAACCAGGCAATGAGAGCTCCCATTCTGGCCCCTGCCAGTGAGTTCCCTGATGATTGGCAGGTCCCTCTTGCTTCACTAGTCCTCAGTTTTCCTCATCTGCAAAATAGGAGCTGGGATTAATTTGTACCTAAAGCCCCCATTTAGCTGTGAGCCTTTTGTGAGTCTCCGATCCTTGCAACTCCACCAGGAGATGAGGAGGGCAGAGACAACATCTCAGTCCACACGCACAGGAAAGAGCTCTCCAACCCCCAGAAGGAGGTAAACACCATGACTCTCAGCTCCTCCTCTCCTCCCACCCACCCTGACC